ACAATACTATACTCATATTGTAAAAATGTATTAGCTAACAAACTCTACAAAGTTTGCTGTTATATATATAGCTAAGCTTATTCATATCTTAAGCTCAGCACTGTCTATATCATATAAATATTTTAACTAACAAACCCTAAAGAGGTTTGTTGTTATATAATTAGCTTAAAATTAATCATATTTTAAGCTTAGTGCTATGTTTATATCTTAAAGTATTTTAGCTAACAAACTCTAAGGAGTTTATACTAGCATATTAACAAGCTTAAGTCTATTAGTCTTAAGCATTGTATTAATATTATATATACTTATCATAATAAGTACATTGTAATAACCTCTATATGGCAGCTGATAAGCTGGCAGCAGGAATTCATCAGTTCAATGCCTTTATGAAGTTCCCATAGGGTTATTACAATCATCACAGTTCAAATCACTAATTATTAAAATCCAAAGTATTATATATTCCCACCTCCGGCTCTGTTGGATTCTACAAGCAAAAGAGCATGAGTCAGGATAAGGAAAAATATGTAATTTTTGAGTAAAATTGATATTTTATACTTATCCTGACTCATGAGGTCAGCCCTCCCATCCTCCCCAAATAACACTTTGGATTTCCCTGTAAATTCAAATGTTGGGCTCAGTATATGAGGAGAGAGTGAGGCACATGGGTAGAGGTGGCGCCCTCGTTCCCGAGCTTGTGGAAGGGAGGTAACTCGTGGTGTACTAATTAGTGATTTTACATTGAAGGGAACTTCAATTAGGGAGATACAAGTGTTCCACTATGTTCGCAAGAGGAAGGAGACAAGCAAAAAGAGCATGAGTCAGGATAAGTATAAAATATCAATTTTACTCAAAAAATTACATATTTCTCTCTTCTTCTTCGACCAAGGTGTGGAGATGTGCTGTGGGCTAAGTTGAATCAAATCGTCTGGACTCTGTACCACCTGACCTTTGCCCCCACTCCAATAGCTCGTCCTGTCAATCATCTCTATTAGCGTGCAGATCGCTCAGATGATCACGTGTCATCCCATTACTGTCATTCTCTTTCCACTGGTGTGGACGTGTGTTAAGCTCAGGGATCGTTGGATGCTTTCCTAGGGTCCATCATCATATATACATTCAAGCGAGATCGTCCATACAAAACAGCTCGCAATTCATCACCATCACCGGAAGATGTTTCTCGATATAGCATTGGATTCCTACCTCAGCGAGAATTACGTTGGTTATTCCGACTTCAGACTTCGAGTCCAGTATCGGGACAGGATGACTCTCCCACTCAGGTAGTAGTACTTCATACTTCACCGTCACAGTCCCGATTGGCAGTTCTAGTGACATTTTCTCAAACACCTGAGGCGGCATTGTTAACACCTCCTTGCAATGTGTCTCTATTTGTGGATCGGCAATTAACTTACCTACAGTGACTTATTGTAGTGCGAGCTTGTCTAAGGCGAACTCCAGTGCTGATATCAAGTTCGACATTCCCTGTTAGTTCGGTGTTTTTCCGCCTAGTGCACCGTTTCATTCGGTGTTATGCTCAGTGAACAATAATGTATGAGTCGAGTGTTCACTCCAGTGCATCGCTTTCACTTCGATGCTCCAGATCAGCCATATGCTTATGTTTGATTCGTCACAGGCCAGAGCACCGCTTCAGCCTGTACCACTACCAGTGCGTCGCTAAGAGGAGAAGAGGCCAGTGCTCGTTTTGCTTCAGTTCACTGCTCTCATTTGGTCCAACGCTTTAGCCCAGTGTTCCACTTTCGATTGGGATCAACGCTTCAACCTAGTGTGCCATTTTCGATTTGATCAACGCTTCAACCCAGTGCGCTGTTTTCGATTGAAACAACGCTACAGTCCAATACCGAATAGTACGGTGATTCGGACCAGTGCGTAACTTCTGTTAGGTTGGCCTTTTAGACCAGTGCACCGGTCCCGACTGACTCGGCGCCTTAGATCACACACCAAACCAGGTCACCTATTACAAAGATGTGTACGCCTACTGTCAACATGTCTTTGTTGGCTAGTTCGCAAACTACGTTACCTACAGTGACTTTTTCTACTGCGAGTTTACCTTCTACAATTCTTCCTCCTTGGTGTTGATACCTCATTCTACTATACAGTCTCTACCGGTGCTCAGCTTGGCATTAGGGGTTACGCTTCCTGCTTTCATTCAACCCCATGTTATCTACTAGTGTGATGCTGGTATCCAGATCACTGCTTTACTCCAATGCGCCTCTCTCTTATGTATCAACGCTTCCATCCAGTGCATGATTCGATCCTACGAATCTACCCTTGAACGTATATGTCAGCTCTACAACCTCCCGGTTGTGCATTACTAGACCAGCTTGATATTCAGCATTATTTTACGACACTTCACTGAATCCTGTTACTACAGACTACTCGTAGCAGCGTTATGGTGTATCACTGGGTGTATTCGTGGCCTGTGTCATCATCCTCATCACCCTTCTTTTTACATCATCAGCAAGTGCTGGACAGATGTGTCAAGTTTCTTCACGTGGCACCAGCAGTGTTTTTTTTTTTGTGAAGTAGATGGCAGGTACATGGACACACCATCAGTAAAATGCCTAACCCATGCATTTGTGACATCACGTCTGGACTACTGCAACAGTCTACTCCATGGGATACAGCAGCAGTACATGGACAAGTTACAGTGTGTTCTAAACACAGCTGCCAGGCTCATAACATGCACAAAGATGTATGTGCACACAACAACAGTCCTGAAGGACGTACACTGTGAATATCAGAAATCGAAAAAAATCGACAGTTTCCGATCTTGTCTCAAACCATCCTCTTCAAACGAGCATTCGACTAAGCGCACATGAGCAGGACTCTGGATATGTAGCGCCACACAAATGTTTAATTTGATTTGCTTTGTAGTAGCTAGCGTTTCTTAACCCGGATTTTATGGGTTGGGATTCGCCTGGTTAATCGAAGACCGTGTTGTCCAGATATTATCCCCGTTGCATTGTGGGTAGCATTTGCAATGCCGGACTACTGTTTGTTTCCTGGAGACTTTTGATAACTTTAGAGTGACTATGAAGTGCCCTGACTGACTTGTCTTGCTCCCATGAAGCGGATAACTATACCAGCCTTTAATTGTCAGTGATGATGAATGGTGACACTCCCGGTAAGAGTGATTATGGCGAGTTTCGTCAGCCAGCTGATGGGAACCTTTTACCAAGAATGTCAGACAGAATCGCCCAAGACCGCTTTGATTTTGACTATGGTTACTCGGTCTCCTACATTAGCTTATACCCTCAGTTCAGAGGTCAGTGCAGCTATGTGTGAATGGTCCGCAGGCATGGATTTTACTACCTTCGTTTCCCTTACGAACGTTCCTCGGGTCACCGGTCTTCTTTACCTTAACTTTTCCTCCTTAGCTCCTTCAGTGGACATAGCGGTTCCACATGGTGGACTTGCTCAACATCACTGTCAAGGCCAATCACATTCCAGGGGTAAAAAACGTCATTGCCGATTCTCTGTCCCGCTCGGCTCGACCATCTTTGATGGAGTGGAAACTACATCCACAGGTCTTCCAGACTCTTTGCCTTCCGATATCGAGCCTGACAGTGGATATATTTGCAACTCACTTCAACAATCAGCTTCAGAAGTTCGTGTCACTGATCCCGGATCTCTGGCCTGGGAACATGATGCATTAGCCATCCCCTGGGACGACTTGAACGCGTATGTGTTTCCACCAGTGTACTTCAAAGTATACTGCTCAAGTTACGCACGTCGCAGTGGATGACAACTGGTTTTCGTTGCGCCTTACTGGCCGGCCAGAAGTTGGTTCGTAGACCTGCAAGACATGGCTGACCACCACTTCCCGATTGTGACGATCTTCTGGTCCACCCTCACTTGGATCAGCTGCATTGGTCTCCGCTCACGCTCCATCTACACACTTGGTGCATTTACATAATTGTGAACTGCGAGGGAATATTCCAAGCATATTGCTATGGCGATTACCACAGTGCACCGAACTTCCACCCGGTCACTCTATGATGATAAGTGGAAGAGTTTTGAAGCAATTTGTAAGGTGAAGGGTTTTACTTCTCCTCGGACAGCATCGCCACAGATGGTAGCAGAGTATCTATAGCATCTTTGTACTTCCAAGAAGTTGAAGGGCTCAACTTTAGCCATGTATTTAGCTGCGCTTAACACAGTTATTTCTACAGCTATGGGTGTGAAGGTGTCGACTGTCCCTGTCCCTGTCCCTGATCTTATTTGTTGCTGATCAATCTCGGAAGTTTCGGCCACCAATCTGGGATCTTTTTGTAGTTCTTACCCATCTCACGTCAGAGGACTACTAACCTCTGGCGGAGAAGGATTTTGAGCATGTCACGTTTTCTTCTTCCTCCTGGCTCTTGCGACTGCTACTCGCATCTCCGAGCTCCACACCGTGGACGTGTCCCGATTGCGTTTCAAGAGGACCAGACATGCCAAAGTTTTCCTAGGTTTGTGGTTGGAGTTTGTCGCCCAAAACCAGTTGCCTGGACAGCCGGACAGAATATTCACCTTTCCGCCGCTGTCTACTATTCTGGGCCCTGACGACACTGAGGATCTCTCCCTATGTCCTGTCCGGACATTACGGGTCTATTTAGCTACTTCCAAGGACCATCGTAGGTTATGCAAGAGACTGTTTATTCCTCTGTTAACTGCCTCATCTACAGAGATCTCTTGTACCACACTGGCATACTGGATGCGATCACCATCCTTCTAGCCTACGCCTTCCTCCACCTCCTACGGCCAACCCTCCCAACGAGGGCCTTGGCCTCTACTATGACGCTTCACAGAAATTGCTCACATCACGCCATCATGGAGGGTTATTCAAGTGAATCCAGGTAAACGCCTAATTGTTACATGGCTGTTACAACAGTATTGGGTCACTTCTTCACAATTATGTTAATGTAAGTTATTGTAAGTTTTGTGTTCATGGTAAATTGTATAGCTTTTGTTGAATAGCTTTCACCATCTCTGTTTTATAGGTGTTCAGGGCTGTGCAGAAGTCCTCCATGGATCTGCTGAGAGTCATCGAGAGATACCAAGATCGGCTCTGTGGTGAGTCCTAACACCAGAGGTTGACAGCTTGACAGCTTGTGAGAGCTCAGTCTATGTTACAGCTCGGTCTCATTTATGTTCAATGTCTTCATGCTTTCATTTATTGAAATAACACAAAATAAATGTGGAAGTCACATGACCACAGAATATTCTCTCACAGACTAAAAGTTATGCCCAAAAGTATGAATCCTGTCCATCTCAAGGGGAGGTAATCACTGATTGCTAAGTTCCAAAATTTTGTATTGGCTTAGTTAATAGTGAAACACATAAATTTGGTATTTTTGTATTTTTTACCTTGTGTTTTAACCATTCACTTACACAAATGAGTCAAGGTCATAATTAGGTGAAGTCAGTAGAGGGCATTTAAGGAGAAGAGCCTGTATTAAAAGAGGATGGTGCCTTATTATTAATGATTATTGAAAACTTGTGATGACTTGTCCATCATCAACCATCACTTGTTTCATGGCAAAAAGCCATTACTCCCATCTGAAGGGACCCGAGTTAGCAGCAGCCAACTCAGTTATAAGGTTTTAGTTGTTAAAGGAGTGATTTATGCATTGAAAATTCAGACACATCCACAGGATTTTACTTCAAGTTTTCCAGGGCCACAAAAAAAATACAGCAGATTAAGGTAGTTCTTGAGTATAGTGCACACCCTAGAAAAGTAAAAAATTGTGCAGAAAAACTAGACTCAGTAGCAAAAGTTATTGTGACATGGATTGTTTTCATGGGTAACCTTGACAATGAAATTTTGGATTTGAAACAGCAAATGAGTTCTCTTTCTACTCCAGTCAACCAGAAGCTTTTAGATCCCAGAGACTCTGAGATGATAGAAGAAACCTACGTTTATCGAGGAAAATATCGAGGAAAACATTATTGCTACTACATGTCTAATTCTACTGCTGCTAAATATGAAAACTATATTTTTCCTTATCCTGACTCATGCTCTTTTTGCTTGTCTTCTTCTTCTTGCGAACATAGTGGAACACTTGTATCTCCCTAATTGAAGCTCCCTTCAATGTAAAATCACTAATTAGTACTCACCACGAGTTACCTCCCTTCCACTAGCGCGGGAACGAGGGCGCCACCTCCACCCATGTGCCTCACTTTCTCCTTCTTCGCCCAGTGAGCTGGACGTGAGAGCGCCTGTGTCTCCCGACACACTATATCCTTTGATTATATTTAGTTAGTTACCTCGTATAGACATCTATAGAGGTTTAGCTAGTATCCTTCAACAATTATATATTGATATTTAGTCGTGTTTCTACTGTTTATTCACGGGACGCCATGTTTGTTCTGTGGTTTACGTTGATGAAAATTTCTGTACTGTTGCAGATTACGTTTTTTATTCTGCTGCTGATCCGCATTAATATGCCTTAGCTGTACTGCGCCATGTTCATTTTATTCACGTGGCAGTTGCGGTACTAATTTATCCAATTCTGCCTTTAATAAATAATTACTTTGTGTTTGAGACGCGCAGCAGATAGGTCGCGTATGCAGAGTCTAGCATGACTGATACACCTGAACCCCTCGCCAGTCTACTGCTGTTGGTCGACCCCCCTCCCGTCTGGTGTTCCGCTAGAGTGGTGGAGAGGCGTGGGACGTAGTCCGCCGCTTCCTAGAACCGTCCTGCTCCCCCAGACATCCCATCGTCGCAGCCGAAGACTAGAGGGCTTCTACTGCATCTCAACGCAGACTTCGCACCCCAAGGGCAGCGTCGACCTCTGAGGGGAAATCAACGAAGTCTACTAGGACTTTCTCAACCGAGATTGTTCCAGCCGCTGAACTGGGCCTCTACGATGATCAGCCGATCATCATCCTCGGCGTACGCCACAAGAAGCGACCAGTGACATCAGCAGAGATTGCCATGCAGCCTGATGTCTCTACACTGATGTCAGACGACTTCCCTGAGGGCTCAGCAGCTGTCATCGCAGAGAGGGCACCGACCACTTCGTCGCAGACCATCCCAGACGAGCTGTTGCGGCAGATCATGACCATGATGGAGGGCCACTACAGACGGGAGAAGCAGCCAGCCCAAGGCCTGAGCAACGCAGGAGACACCCCCAGTCAGCGTAGCAGCCACGACGAAGCAGCCTTCGAGAAGGAAGTCACAGACCACCTCGACGAAGGACCCAGATGTACAGTCTTCGCGAAGGCCGGGAGAGATCGTCACCGTCCTCGGCCTCATCCTCAGATGCAGACTCAGACCACCAGACATCACGGAAGCCGTCAGGGAGGTCAAGGCGCCGCTCCCCAGGTCCGGACGCAGAGGAAGCTTCACGAAGGCCGTCACACAGATCGTCATCGTCCAGAAGGACATCGAGGGTCTACTCAAGAGCTTCGCGAAGCTATCAACATTCTCCTCGCAGATCTCTGAGAAGGTCATCCCATAGACACAGATCACCTAGACGATCTCCACGCCGTTCATCACGCCGATCTCCGCGTACATCACCACGTCGATCACCTCGCAGGTCACCACACAAGTCTGCACACAAGTCTACAGTCAGGTCTCCCCAAGCGTCACCCGACATAGAGATAGCAGCACACAGTCCACCATCAGAAGAGCATCAACCTCTCATCAGCGATGCTGGGATAGAAGATGATGGAGGCATCATTTTCTCAGACGCTGAGATACGATATTGGATGGTAAACAACCTAGATCTCTCTTCACTTTCCAAGAGTGGCAACTCAGCGCAGACATACCTGATGAAGGAAGACGATGCAGACGCCATCACCTTACCTCCGATCGACCCGATTGCTGCGGTGCCACAGAATGTGGACACAGCCTACCATATAAAGCCATGAAAGTTCAAGCGCCAGAGGCGTATGTTCTTTGGCCTTAATAGATCTAGAGCGATCAATGAGATTCTTATCACCAGATTTCGTGACACGACTTCTGAAGATGATAGGATGATCTACTCGGCTCTACTTATGCAGAACCAGCAAGAACCACACCCTGTATGAAGCTAACGCTCATATATTGATCGGACTCTAGACACTTCGCTAAGGAAGTCCCAGGACACCTCCAGCGAAGGAGCTAGAGCCTCACCAGTTACAAGGGGCGCCGAGGAGGAGTAAGCGGCCGCCGACCCACATCCTGTTGAACACAGAGGTGGATTCGTGAAGCAAGCATGAGTCAGGATAAGTATAAAATATCAAATTTACTCTAAAAATTACATATATATATACTGATCGGACTCTGACTCGATACCTTCGCGAAGGTCGCGAAGGCTAAGTGGCTCCAAGTCTACTTCACCCAGAAGATCTAGAAGGGATACTTCGAGAGCTTCGTGAAGTCTCCGGCGTTCACCGAGGAAGTATCCTCCAAGGTCTCCATATACTAGCCACTCGTCATATATAGCTACTCGTCAGTCCGTTCAAGACATCGCATAAGTTGTCTATCAACTGTATGACATATGCCGTCTATAAGCCTACGTGAAGACAATTGCACAGGCTATTTACAACACAGAACGTCGCTATATTAATTAGTCAACGACGTTTCATAGATCTTCACAGAAATCAACTTTCCGTATAGATTGCTAGAATATGCTATCCCACACTACGATACGATTATCTACATGCGTGACCATTACGCAGATCTGCAGACAATTCAATATCGAAATTGAACAGCAGCCTTGTTACAGCGAGTATAACTCATAATCGTCAACGTTTCTGAGAAGTAATATGTACAACAAGTTCAGCTTTAATTCTACAATTATGACGATACATTCATGTATACAGTCTACAAGCTGACAACTTGCAAGTTTATTGTACCTTTATATAAGGAAGTCGGAATTATATTCAAAACTGAAGTTACTTTCACGACAGCCAGGAAAATAACCTACCCAGCATTAATATTACAGAGCGAGGTATATTTTACCGGAGGTTTTGTGGCGTTTACCATTAACCCCGAAACTTCGTGGTCACTCGGGTAACTTTGGGAAGCTACGGTGAAGACCGGCGATTATGCTAATATAAAGCGACGGCAAGATTTTATACAAGGTTTTTCCTGCTACACCGGTGACATCACAGCGGGTATACTACAGAATCAAAATGCCTTGTTCTGATTGGACGCGATGGACAGCGACCTACGCAGAGGTCGATCTTAGTTCACAGTTCAAGACTTACGTTACAAGTGACAACTATATATCAGTGAGCGAGCAAGCCTCCTTACAGTCCAGTTAATCTGAACCTTCATGATTGGGCTGCTTTCTTCAGGTTAGAGACCTCCCTGTCAAGTTAGGGCGAGGCACACGGCAGTCAGGCGATTTTACATAAAGTTCAACGAGGACACACCTGGTTGTGCACCTACATCGTCAAAGGACTTGGCGAATTTACCTGAGGCGGCCGGGATACAAGTGGATCTAAATCCACAGCGTCTCAGACTACAGCTGAATTTCATCATCAAGCTACTAACACAACTAGATGGTTAGTAAACCTACTTAAGCTTTCTGATTGGAGGATTAAAACGGAAGTTTCACGCTCCAACTTGGGGATCTGTATATAGTGCTCCAACACCTCACAAGTGAGGTTTATGAACACGCCTGGATGACATACTTGGACTTCATGATACGATGATTCTATCACGATGGCCAGCAAGAGCACTGTAAATTTATCTCCACCGAACCAAACAGGAGGGAAAAATGCATCAGATTATTTCCTCTATCATCAAGTTACGCAGACTGAAGTCTCATGTACTACCATCTCCTTTGGATCAGAACTGTCATACTACGTGCCTACAAGACTGATGGACCCGATACGACCCTCCATGAGCTTCTAATACTCATGATATTAGAGCGCTAACTTCTACAATTGATCTACACAAATGTTATTTGAAATTATGGAGGGGTTATTTCTGAAGATCCGATATGGTGGTTGCCAACCATTATCTGAGAGATATCACCGCCGAGGACGTCTCAGGTATCCACCAATTCGGTCCCATGGTCCTCGCACAACAGTTGACAGTTCCTCGGAGAAGATAAGTCAATCTTACAGATTTC